GTGGTAAGCTTCGAAATAGTAAAAAAAACAATAGTTGATAGCGCAGGACTGCTCCTATATCAGGGCAAAGCCCTGAATGTTCTGAATGACCCTTAATTTATATGGAATTGTTTCTGGGAAAAGAAAAATTGAAAACCTATACATTTTGGAAAATATCAATGTGTAAAATTTTGAGTCGTACGAAATTAATACTACCAATTAGCTAACCTCAATTCAATTTGGAACGATTTTGTTGTGCGGGATAATTCGCCACGCATAAATATTTCACGTTACGCTCTCAGCATTATAAATAAATTCTTCAAAGCGCGCATAATTTAGTCCAGAACGGAGGTGAAATATCTTTTTTACATTTGAATCATCGGAGGTGAAATATCTTTTTATATTTGAACTCAGGAAGTCAATATATCTTCAATGGCGTATAAAAATAATTTGTTGAAAATTATTTTTTCGATTGGTGAAAATTGACTAAATGAAAAAAACCAGACCGAGCATAAATATTTCGTTTTCTTCGAAAGTCGGAACTATAAATTTAAAATAAAAGTCGCGAAATTAGTGCACGACTCTCAGTAAATACTGATCAACTTAGCATTCTAATCCCTATGGTATATACTTACAAATTTCCGTAATCAGATCCGTAAATATTTTCGTCACGACCACTCTCAATGAAAGTTTGAATTTGCAACGCTCTGCATTATGTTGTCTCTAACTCACCACTAGAGCTACTGCTTTCAACCGTCAATTTAGAAAATTACCAGTGACTAACCGGTCCAGAATGATATGATTGAAAACATCATCTGATTTCAAAACTCGAAAAATTATTTTTCAAGAATTTGACGGAAAAAAATTTCTTCGGAAAATTTTGAAATTACTCGTATTCGTCTGCTAACTGTTTTTTATTTATCTGCGCGGACGTTAATGTTTGATTACGAGATCGAAGTATAATCAAACGTATCAATACATAGACGATAAAACCCTATCTCACTTTTTAATGGCTTCAACTCGAGGCTACCTGCAAAAATATGTCACATCTTTCTTAACCTCGACGCCGGGACTGTACAAAAGAGCATATAGATAAAACAGCATCAGCTTTTGCTAGCTTTGTTTACGTGTTAATTTGTTATTTTTGTTGTAACTAAATTTGCTATTTTGGAAGAACAATACATATCGAGGTTCTGAACACACTGGGTGAACATATCGGCATGGCCATTTAGTGTCAGATACATGACTATTCATTTAATTTAACTATTTTTTCAAACAAAAAAAACTGAATTAAAGTCTAGAATATTCTTTCGATGTGCTCAATACAATCAAGTTTCTGATGTAAAATAATGGGATCGATAGCCAAAATCTTGTGGATACTATTAGTGTTATGAAATCTGATTAGCTTATATGTAATTGAATAACTTTTTAAAAGTTTTTAAGCTATTTTATATTTAGCAAAAATTACAGCACCCTCGATAACAAGTATAACCTGTTACAAAATATCATAGCTTGAACGGAATGCGATTATTATTATGAATTTGAGGCTGAAAATCTGATTCCCAAATCTTGAACCTTAAGATTTTGAGGAATTTATTAGATTAAATCTAATAATACTTAAAATCATTTTGGTCAACTTCGTGATCCGATTTATTGTAGGAACTCCCTCAAAAATTTTTTAAATTGCGACAAGAACGTTTTTCATCTTAATTGCCCAATTGTCACAGATAGGAAGTTTTGAGTTGTAGTCAAGTACCAATGTCACAATTTCACACATCGGAGACAAAAATATATTTTTTTCCTAGTCAAAATAAACATTTTTCTCAACAAATTTTCAACTTCACAAATTTTTGGCAATCTTTCAACAAGCCTCGCATCGCATAAATGACTGCAGTTTATCCTAATTAAATCAAAATCTGTAGAAAATAATGGGTTAAAACGGAAAAGGGCAGTCTCGTTAGTTTTTTTGATGCTTAGTTGATGCGATCCTAATTGAGTTAAATTAAAAACTAAACGCTTTAATTAAAACTAAATAGATTAAGTTTTTTTTGACAACAATTTTTAGCGAAAATTGAAGACGAAAACAAAAATTTAAAGGTGTTTCAGTTTTTTACATCTTTTTATTTTTTTGAACAACTTTATTTCCAAAAACGTCTAAATGAAGTTCAAAAATGAAAGTTTCGGGCTTAAATGAAACTTCTGAGGCTTTTTTTGTGCTATCATAACAACTATACAAGCTAGACAATAGCCCAGAGCTTATCAAATTAAAAACCAATGCAAAATTTGAGACTGTTTTTTCGATAAAACGTTTTTTAAGTCGTTCGAATTACAATGAATGGGCTTTAATGAGATCTCATTCTGATGACTATTTGTCTCCATTTGTATCTAATTTTTTGTGCCAAAAAAGTAAGAAACTTAAGAAAAGAAAATAAAGTAATAGTTATAAGACACAGCCCCGACCTATAACGGTTTAAACCGAACACTATTTGCCGCGCAAATTTCAATAACTATTCATAATGGTACACTTGAAAAATTATACGTAATGACACTATAAAAAAAGGGTTTGAGGGGAGCGCGCGCCAAAAAAAAAACGCGATTTTTTTTGTCAAAATTTTTCAAAAAGTCCCCGAAAAACGGCTTTTTTGGACTGTTTTTTCAATTTTCGATTTTTTTTTGAAAATCCCCCCCCCCCTCGAGAAAATCTTAGATCCGCCCCTGGTTAAGCATATGTGAACTTTTTACCTAGTAACGAATATCCCCATTTTGCAAAAAGGGGGCATAGTTAAAGAGATCCGCATTTACCTGTTGTGTTAATGACACTGAACTTAGAATGAAATCTTATCTAATGTCCAAAAGGAACTACAACGAGATAAATGAAAGCTATGTCCTGTTTTTTAGTTGAATAGAAATATGAATCACAAACAGTTTTTTATTTCTGTCTTTTTGTATCAGCAGGAATTAAACATCAAAATGAGATCCACCTATTCGAACAGCAACAAAACAGGCTCCTATTCGCCAAAAAATGCTACGAAAAACTTTCATCTGAGGTCCAAAAAGATTTCTTCTGCCAATTCGAAGTTCGTCCAAAAGCACTGAAAGCAGAGCTCGTTTTTCATGACAACTGTCACGTTCTTGGCAGTGTTTCTTCTCATCGTTGTCGAATGTGCAGTCAGCAGAGTGTGTGAACTCGTATACTGCGGGGTACAACTGGGAGCCGGTGGGGAAAAGGTCTGCGGGTGAATATGTTTTGGGAAGGGAACAAAACCAGGTACGTTTTACTTCAAATATCACAATTCTCAGCTTTCGCTTCGAAATTTAAATAAAACGTATGAAACTTTTTTATAGTCATGAGAATTTTGATCTCCAAATTTTGAGCGGGAAATATTGCGAGGTTTGGGTCTTTTCTGTCATAGGGCCCAACAACATTACCAAAATTTCAATTAGATTTCTCTCTATAATGAAATTCTTGGTCCATTTTTCAACATAGCAAAAAGATGGCAAAAAGGGCCGTATAATAGAAATGACCCCGAAGTTCTCGCAAAATATGTACTAATTCATCAATGAGCTCAGGTTAAGGACAAAGACATGTTATTGATCAAGTTAACCTTTCCCCTTAAAACAGTATGCTAAGTTCTTCCACCCACTATATGATTAGGATTAAAATACCTCAAGGGGGGTCTTTTCTGTTATACGGCCCAAAAACGATCTTTTTGTTAACAATTGTCAATTTAATTATGTTGTTAAATTTGGGCTCAATTAACAATTTGGCAGTTCCGGGTCACAAAACGGAAAAGACCCTAGATCTGCACGTCAAATACCCGATTTTGATTGGCTGAAAATCCAACCACTCGAATGCTTTGGGGGGACGGTAACTGGATCTCTCGTTTTCTCTTTGTTTTTTACTTTTGACTTAAAATCAGGTCCCCGCAAATAAACATTAGAATGGGTCGAGTGATATATCATATTAAAACCCTTTTAGTCATGATTCGATCAACAATTAAAAACTTCCAAAAAGTTAACTCAATGTCGAGAAAACCACCTTTAAAATTTTGGCGATTAGTCTATAGTTCCGAGTGAGTAAAGTGAGTAATTTTTGTTGATCGAAATTGGGTTATTTAGCTCGTGAAAGTTTATTATAATCCAAACAAACATTTTTTCGAAGCTTTTTTATAACTTATAAAAAAGAATTTCGAAGCGAGCGCTTCCCTCCTTGTCAATATAAAGTTTCAAAAAAATCGGCCAAAATTTATTTCAATCATATCAAAAATTTTAAATTTTTTTTTTAGTTTTACTTTTTTGAAGACACTTTCAGTCAATTACGATTAATTTACTAAATTTTTAAGCTGCCGTCTTTCCTCTCATCGTAATCGCGCAATTTTGAAAAAAAAAATAAAATTTAAAAGTTTGTTATGAGTTTGTCCAAAATTACCGTGCTGCTTTCATACCAACCGTCTATCCTTGTTTTATTAATTTTTTGTCTGCGTTAGTAGATTCGATTTTGCAATGGATCAGCTTTTGCTACGACAAAAATTAGAAAAACGCAGTGACTCCAGAAAGCTAATCGTTTTAAGCCACTTTTGAGCAAATGTTTAATGAAGGCACGACACTTAATTAAAGTCCTCATCTGTAAAAACCTAACACAATGCAAAGTGCCTGAAAATACTGCTAGTAAATTGTCAAAAAGAAGCATTCGAAGAGCTGAAAACAATGACAGAAAAACGGCATGTTTTACAGAGTTTTCAAGAACCAAATTTTAACTTAGTTTTTTTTCGAACGAGAGCCTTAATTTGGTCTAAATGGCTTCAAGTGAAAAAGCAAGCAAATTAAAAACACTAGGAAGCTGCCAATTTTATTTTGAAAATCTGCTAAGTGTATTTTCACTGCATTAGGAAATAGTTGAAGACGTGGATGGTGTTTTTGCAAAGGTTAAGTTGTTTTTCACCAGTTCAGATAAATAATCAGCAAAAGTTGCATGTCAGTCTTAGTCAGGGTCGCAACAGAAGTCATCCGATTGTCATCCGAGCTGAACAGTTTGTATGCGGGCTCATTACATGCCCAATAATTGGTCTAAACCTAAGTTAAGTTTGAGATAGCCTTTTTAAGAAAAAAAAAACTAAATCGGATGCACTTTAGTTATTTTTCCTATTTAGGTTTCCTTCCATACGATGACGAAAAATATTTAGTATTTTAAGCGGGGGCGAATGTAAGGGAGAAAGGGTTAGGATGGCGGGGAGTATTTTTTAAAATGAACGCAATTTGTTGAACAAAAACTTTCGAAAGTTGTCTGAAAATGTCATTTTTGATTTTTGGCTTGTTTTTTCAAAGGGCATTTATAGAGCAAGCTAAGATATATATATATATATATATATATATATATATATATATATATATATATATATATATATGCTCTTTGAAAAAACAGACCAAAAATGACAATTTTGCCGCAAAATTTTTTCAAAATAGGGTCTTCATAATGTTTTGGGAGAAATCGGAAAATCAGTTTGTGCGACCCAAAAGAAGGTCTTCAGATGATCAATTTGATTTAAAGTTAAGGCTTTTAAATGCAAACGAAATTGTAGAAAAAAAACAAGATTTTTAGATTTACATCGTTGTTATGCCCCTGATTGAGATTTGCTCTTTTTTTTCTGGGCTAGAAAATGTAGGCGGGCCTCACATTCAAACAAATATAACGGCTCTCGACTACAAACCTCATGATAACAAAAAGAATTTATTCGGGCTGATAAGTTGATTTTGTGAAATGAGCAGATGACATTTTTATTTCCTAGAGTAACAATTTCTTGTAATAAAAACAAATAATTTTTGCTATAGGATTTTCCCGCGCGAGGCGTTCCGAGTTATGGGCGAAGATGGCCCAGGTATTGGCTTCAAATGGCGCTTTCTGGACAACACCAAAAACAGAGTCCAAACTACGCAACTTTCCGAAGTCACTCCCGAAAAAGATTGTCAGCCTGTGAACGATGAAACTTCAACTACTAGCGTCAAAATATCAGTTTAGAAAAAAATGATTTCCGAATTTTAAAAAATAAGGTGCGATTGATTGTGTAATTAAAATAAATGAATTAAAAATTGCTCCTTTTGTTGTTATACATCATAGAAAGAATAACCTCCTTAAACGAAATGCATAGTTGAAATTCTTCGCGAGTGAAAAAACCGAATTTCTGAAGCGCCGATTTGCAAGGCTAGTTCAGCGGATTTCTTTGACTATTTCTCCCCTTGGGCTAGGTCTTTTACCAGACCGACCTTTTACCAAACCACAAGGCAATAATTCAATTAAGATAAATTTAAATTAGTGCAAGATTCGAAAAGGAAGCGGTTTGAACATACAAAACTTTGCTGAAAAAACGTGAAAACACTGTTTTTAACCAGACTAAACAGCATCATTACAACTGTCGATCAAATTTGTTTATCGAGTCTGGTAAAAGGTCAGTAAAAACAATCTTATGACTTTTTAATCGAGCGGTTAATAAAAACTTCTAGCTCTTGAGATTCCTGTAATATTCTTGGCTATATACTGTTCTAGATTATAAATAGTACTCTAATTAGAATGGCGTTTGACTTTTTCTACACAGAGGCGAAGTTGCACTTCGCATACACAAGCCAAAACATGACCGATAACGCCTAGCATAAAACTCGACTAGCAAAAAAATTTCAAAAATGAAAACTATATCGATTAGCATAAAAATCGAAAATTCAAAATCTTGTCACACTTGGTTGGCGTTATCTCAAAAACCTTCATTCTAACCTTGTAGAGGGGTGGGGATTGTTAATAAGATGAAAATGTTTATTCACAAAAAAGTGGTTGTCTTTAACTATTCTCCCACCCTTTGGTAACAAGTAACGAAATGCCACCCCTATAATGAATTAATTTAATGGTAAAGTATATGCGAAGTTCGTCCTAGTAACAAATCTCCCCCTTTAGCAACGGGCGGTAGTTAAGAAGATCCCAAAAAACCTGTATAAATCAAAGTTTTTTCACACATTTCACAGTTTGCGCGGCAATCAGTGTTCGGGTAAAGCCATTACAGGTCGGAACAGGCGTGGATCTAGGTTTTTCTCAAAAAAGGGGTGCAAATTTTTAGAAAAACAGTCCAAAAAAGGCGTTAAAAGGATTTCCTATAAAAGGGCTTCTTAAATTAGTACCAAAGGGGGCCGTTTGGGTAGGCAGGGGGTCGAATCCTTGAAAGAGTTTGAACCCCCCTTCCCTGCTCCCTCTCAAAATCCGCCCCTGGGTTGGGCCGTGGTATGACTGATCAGAAACTATGTGAAAAGGAAACTCATTTGCTTGTTGATAGTTTAACTTCTTATTTTTCAATTTCTCAGAAATGTAAGTTTCAATTTGAAAAGTTATTCTTGTTTTGTATTTTTTTGTCGCAACAATATTTGCGATTTAGCTTGGAAAAAAAGAGAGTTCATAATATAACACAAGCTTTGCTTGTGTAAAGAGAAGAACTAATTTTTAATATTTAACCATGTTACTTGAATTTTAAAACATGAAAACTGTTCTTCTCAAAAACTTCAGCAAATCAGATTACCCTATGAAGAAAACTGTATACAAATTAAAGGAATCTATTTAGAAAGTAAACTGAATAAGGCAATGAAACAAAATGTACAAGAGCAACACAATAAAAAGTAAATCTGAACTCGGCTGAGTCCACTTTGAATTAAAATTTGAAATCATTCAACAACCAAACTTTTGAAAATGCTTAATAATTTTAAGTCCGTAAAATGAAAATTTCTAAAAAATTTCAATTGTTGCTCTACAAAATGCGCCAAAATTTCCATTCAATTTTAATTTAAAACAATTGAAAATAAACAAGTTTTTATTTTTTGTTATTTCAAACGATTTTTTGGAAATGATTCTAGAATAAAGGAAGACTTTTAAAAACAAGAGCTTCGCAATGAAACTCTTAAAAATTAATTAGTTTTTCAAATGTTTGTCCAAACTCGGACAACTTTTAGGAAGTTTCTGAGAATATTGAAAAAAATCAGGCGTCACAAAGTCACAACGACAGAAAATGAAAACATAACAATATCTTTAAAAAAACTTTTCCACTTTAAGCAATATAAGCAAACAATTTAAGCACCAAAATAAGCAAAAATTTAAGCACCAATTGAAGAAAACACCAGCTATATTTTTATACTAATTTTCAACGTTCTGCTATAAAATATTTGACAGCGCTTAACTTATTATAAACAGGCGCTTCTAAAGATAATTGGAGAGTTTTGTTCTTCATATTTTCGGCCAACAAAAAACAATTCCGACATGAAAGCTTTTTGCTTTATTAAATCACTGAAAAATCTTGTGAGTTCCATATACTTATCTTAACAATCGAAACTGCATATATAAACAAGCCAGCTAAATAAACTCTTACGCTCAAGAAAGCACGACAAATAGGCCTTTTCGGAGACAAACCTGAAGCTTCAAAAGTTTCACGCTTGCTGATTGAGTCTGCTTTTGCTGCAAATAATTCATGCTTACTTCAAAAAATTAGCAGTTCTAGGTAAATAAGACGACAAGCCATTAAAACGGCAAGACATTAAAACGACAAGACATTAAAACGACAAACAAGTGTCATTACAATTTGAATGATCAGTTCGAATTTAAGCGGTTTAATTTTCTCAGATATACAATAGGCAGAAATGAGCGTAGAGTCGTCTTATAGTCACTCCAAAAATGGTTTTCGTCTTAACGGCTGATTTTTTTACTAACCGAACACTAAAAGTAACAAGTTTTAAAGACGTTCCAACAAATTTGATGAATAGAAGCTATGACAACAACTAACTTAATTTAAATTGTCCACAGATTTTGGAATTTATGTTGAAGATTTTCCATAGATTTAAAAGAAAATTACTGGTCTAATGATACAAGGTCTGCTTGTATTAAAAACCGAAGTTTCTGTGTAGCAGCATTTTTTTTACCTTTGAAGAAGCATTTACTGCAGAAAAAATCATCGTTATATAACCAACAGAATTTTTTTTCATTAGTGTGTTGTATAAAGTCAACCATTTCAAAATTTTCAGTACATTTTACGATTTTTACGTTAATTTTTTTTAGCAAAAAGTAAAATTATTTTAAAACCGGACGGAGCAAAATATTCTCACATTTTTGAAAATCGAAAGAGTTACAATAGCTTGTATTCATGTCCTTAGCAACTAATCTAGCGCAGGATTATTCTTTGACTGCTGTAGAAAATTCGGACTCCTTCACTTAAGCAATATTTTTATAAGGTGAACTTGAAGACCAGATGTTTTCGAATGCTTTAATTGGTCAGCCTGCCAGTTTTCACAAGAGCAAAATTTATTAAGTAAATTTGACAGATGGAGGAAAAAGAGCCAATTTGATTGCAAAAATTTAATTGTTTGTTCAGAAGAATTTTGAAACTGTTCATAAAATTACTTCTCAAACAATTTTGACTATGAGGGTGGACAGCGATTACCATTTAGGTTGACTGCCCCCTAAGTTGCTAATGGAGATTCAAGTGAATAAATTCTTAAATTCCAAAGAATTCATTACAAAATTTGTTTCACTATTTAGTGCTGTACTTAACAAAACAAAACCCAGTCGCAGCAATTAATGTGCTGTCAAATGATGGAAACTCCGATGGTAGATGGTCATCAGGCGTGGCCTTCTACAATTTTGAACAGGAATCACGCCTACCAATCCTAGCTTTAATGCATCCAATTTTGCTCCTCGACAAAAAATGTTATCAAGTTTGAATTACAATCAGCGTTTGTCCGCTAGTTAGATTATTTCTACCAATCAATATAGTTTTAAAAACCAGTCCGAGTTCCATTTAATTCCATCCGGGGCTCAAATACTTGTCATTTTGGATCCATCATTGAGCAACCTCTGTTCGGGTGGAAACGCGCCCAGAATTTTGGGCGTCTGCGAGTTGAATGAGACTGGCTTGGGTGTCGGGTAGAGCTGATATACTCTGTCATAATAGGTGAAGTCTGTCTCAACATCGCAAGTGTACAAGTTAAATTCTGGTGGGAGGAAGGGGAGGAGCTCCTCGACTGGGGCGTAGTCCACTTCTAACACTGGAAGTCCTTGAGCTTCTCTCTCCTCAATTAGTCTGTAAGCTTCTCTTTTGCCCCAGTCATGCACTAGTCCTACAAAACGCAACCAAAAATCATTTCTGAGCTGAATGAAATTTCTGCTTTAGCATTAAGAAAGAAATATCGTGCGCTAATTATCCTACATTGGCCAATTGACAATATACAAACCCCCCAAAAATTAACAAAAAACGATCAGAAATGACACATTTTTTTTCATATTTTTGAGCAGAACATCAACAGTTTTTAGACTATTATGGAAACAAATCCGTCAAAAGTTGCTACAAAATCATTCAAAAAGTCTGATACAAAATTCAGACAAACTATGATTGCAAAGATAAATAGAATTTAGAAATTTTTAGACAAGAACGTAGTTTTATTGGACAACTATTTCTGGAAATTTTTGACAACGAAAACTGAGCTCCACTATGAAAGTAGAGATTCAAAAATCAAACCAAAACAAAAAAAAATGGTTTAACAATCACATCGCTGTATTATAAATAAAAGTGCTACTAAGCGAGGCTACTTCATCAAAAAGAAAAAATAATGCTTCCAGGGCATGAGAATAGGACCAGCATAAGACATGTTTACGTGTTCTAAAAATCTTAACTTGAAGTTAGAACCAACTCGACCTAAAGACAGTGATAGTTCGATGGGACAAATTTAGACATCCCCTCAGGAATCAAACTACTACCAATTACATAGATGATCCTACAGGCAAAAAGATCCCTTCTAATCTTTCAAAGGCTCAGACTTCAATTACAATCATTCATCTTATCACATTAGGGCCCAAATATGAAAACCAACGGTAGGAACAAAAACTTCCAAGTTGATGCTATTTTCATGGCTTTTTAATTTTCATGAGACTGTTTGGCTATTGGGAGATAAGGATACGTTTATCAGAAAAAAAATTGCAATCAAATCACTGACTGAAAGATTTTGACCAAGGTTGGATGAAAACTAGCATGTTAAAAAACTTAAGTTAACAGTCTCGTTGAGCGTCAGGTAATAATTCAACACAACTTTGCAAGGTCAAAAATTATATAAAGTCAGGCAGTAAAAACTCAAATTAGTGCGTGAACAATGCTCAAGCCTTTTTGCAAAAAAAATCTAACAAAAACAAGGATAGCCGGCTACTGTGCAAGTAACACAGATTTTTTCATTTGGTCAAGACATTTGGTCACGCATAAATAAATTTAGAAATTGTAGTAGTGCATTAAACTCACTGGTGTAAGATGGTCTGTAATACACGAAGAAGACCATTCCCACTGACATGAGAGAAACACCGACGAACATGTAGTACCTAAATCAAACGAGAAATAACACTTGTTCACAAGGCCAACACCGTTTTTTACAGCAAAGAGGACATCGAATTCTCTGAAATTTTTCCCTATAAAAACCCTCTGCCAAAATCCGCTTTTTAAGTGACAACAAGTCGCCGATACATTGTAAATTTTTCGTTTGATATTGACAATATACGCATATTTAAGACCACATTTGTCGGCAAAAACCACTTTCAGTCTCATAATCTGAATGAAAGTCACTGACTTCAGATGGCTGATTACAATCAGAAGCTACGTTTCCAAACATTATTATAAAAAAGTGCCCGTCACGTGCTTAAGATTTTCGAGAGGAAATAAGTGGAGGGTTTTCACACTAAGAGCTTGATGAAAACTTTGTACATACACAGTATTGTTAAAAACAAACTGATTTTTGCCAACAAATGCCATTTAATTTATGCGCACATGCAGAAAAAACTTCATTTTTGTTGGTATACTTTTACACCTAAAATGTTATCGAATTGTTAGAAAACGCGTGATTGATTTTCTATGCAGTAACACCTGTTCACTCTCGCTGCTTTGATTAATGTTGTTTTCAGGTAGTACTGTAGGTTGTAGACAGTTTAGGAAGTTGTTCTTGAACGCATATCTAGAAACTGTTTATGACTTCACAGCTTATTAGTCAGGCGGTATCGGACCTCAAGATATTTCAATATTCAGAGCTCAACCCAGAGAAGCAATACTCAATCGGGCAAATCTCTTACAGCTTAAGGGTCTTTCTTGTTATACAATCCCAAATTATCAATGCGTTTAATAATTAGCTATTGGGTTTGAGTTAGAGCTTCAGATATCCTTCTGTGGAATCTAGTTTATAACTTATTAGATTCTAGTATTATGCTCCAGTGTTATAAATAAAGACCCATTTTGGGCCGTACAACAGAAAAGACCTCTTAGATATCATTGATCCAGATTAGTTCCACCTGTCGACTTCCCCGACAAGTGAAAAACTCAGCTAACAATTAAATGAGTATCTTCCGACTAGAACTCAGAGCGAGAAAAATCAAGGTCGTAACTAATGAATTTTCTGGTGAACGAAGAACAGTGTGTAAAAAAGTAAGAAATAACTGAAAGATCGAAACAAAGATCAGTTCACAAGTTTTTTAGGCGCTGTTTTTAATTATTTGATTTATTAATGTTTCCATTATGCGTATTTTATGACATGGAATTCTGCTTTTAAATACCGAAATTTACGGCAGTTCGTTTTTCTTTGTTGAACTGCAATTTCCGATAAAGACGGTTAATTTATTTATGAAATGAAGTGTTGTCAATCAGCCAGCTACCCGAAACCGATCTTCCTCAGAACCGAAACGAGGCAGAAATAGAATACATACCTGGCAAACCAATCGTCGGCTTCCTTGTCTTCGTAGTCAAATCCGAGGGATTCAAAAATGGAGAACTTCCGAAAATGGAACTCCCTAACTGGATCCCAAACTGCATTCTCCGGATTCGTCACTATCTCCTCCGTCTTTTTCGTCAGGTGGATACTTCTTTTCTGCGTCATGGAAACGCCACTCAATTCTCCAACTTTACATGCATTATTAGAAAAAACTATCGCAGAAGCTTCTTTCTGCTGGCCCTGGTGAAGACGAAAAAGAGATAGAGGTTGCCCACATAATCTGCTAACACTTCTGACGTTGGATTTAGTTGAAGTGTTTCTGAGGTTGCGAGTGACAACTGAGATTGTTCCAAGTTTCATGACGTCTAAGTGAGCCTCGTTTACATCATCTGGAAAATTTCAAAGATCTACTTAACAATCGTCCTCCCTTTGGTATCTACTTAAGAATTGCCACCCCTGTTAATAAAAGCAGTAAATAGCACTAGAGCTTTTTATTTAAAATTCGTTTTTTGCTGCAATCTGATTGGTCGAAAATGCGTTATTTTAATCTACTTAACAATTGACCCCCTTTCTTAAAAAGCGGGGGCAATTGTTAAGTAGATCCAATTTCAAATATACATCATTTCAGGTATAATATTAACAGAAGCGAAATCCCGTTTTCCAAACAAGCAAAAAAACGGAACAGAAGAAATAAAATGAAAATAAGCATTGAAAAATCAAGCTCTGAAGTAGATAATTCTTAGTACGCTCGAGGATTGAACTCACCAGCTGACGCAACTCAGTCAAATAAAATTTACCTAATGAGCAATAATAGCGCTTTAGTTTAGCGGGTATAACACCCACTGATTAAATAATAGCCCAGGTTGAATTTCGTGCAAAACTGGGCAATGCGAAAGGCAAGTTGCATTACCAAGAAAGTGGGCTGCAAAAATCACACAAGCGTCATTTGAGTAAAAAAAAACAGTGATAGCTAGTTTGTATGACGTCATCAATCGCCAGAAGAATTCCTTCGCGATACCTCCACACAGTGGACACGCGGACTTGAACTTCACTTGATTTAAGCTTCTTCAAAAATGCTATAGTATGCTTAAAAAATTTACATGATCTCTAACTTTTATTTCGCAAAAAAAATACAAATGCGAAAAAAAAAGATGAGCGTGAACATGTAAGACTTTTCTTTACAAAATGCTTGAATAAAACTCGCGAGCGAACCAAATCGTCTTCACTTTGTTCATTTACACTTGAAAAGTATCAACAGTTTTGTTTCAGAGAGGTTACCCTATACTCCGCAGACGCAAGCCAAAAACAATGAAACAGTAAAAAAACAGCCTATTTTAAAAACATTTTGAACCAATCAATATCTGGCCAATCCTGAAAGATTCTCTTAACTTGCTGAATATTAACAACCTGCTCAATCTAAATTGGGCGCACATAATTGTGTAATCAAGACAGGTAGCAGCAAATTCTCGTTCATTAAGCCGAAACAACCTTACAATATAATTTCTTGAAACGACCGAAAACTGCGCTAACTAACTGTATATAGAAATTTGGGACTTTGTACTGGAAAAATGGTCCTGTAAAAAAAGCAAGGTCTGCATATATACCATGTTGATCGCGTAAAGAGCCAAGGCACAAAAAATCAAAAACCAATTAAATAAAAAACTCCCTTTTTCCGAAAAGATCAAATTCATTGCATTTTACTAACGAGCTTTGCTTAATATACGTTACCACCCAACATCAGTTGGAGTTTATCGGTTTCAAAACATGTATCATGGTTCTTCGAGGCAACAATAAAATTTTATTGTCTGCTTTAAAATTGATTGCATTACTACCGGATAAATAGATTTCCAATAAAAACATATCAAAGTGTTTTTCCAACAGTTAAGTTATAAGTATCACAAACCAAATCTTGTGCATAACGAGGCTATAATCAGTCGCTTTCCAGAAATGCTCCTGATTTATTGCTTTAACTACGTGCTCTTTGGTTCATTGCTACATATGCTGATTGCAAACACACTGTTCTATTTATTGAGGAAACTTAGAAATCGTCGAAACTTAACGTTAGATTGATCTGAAAAAATTTCTTTGCGGATGCATTTGATTAAGGAAGCGAATTGAAGAGGCGCCTGATTCCATACTGATTGCCTTCTAATGAAAAGGTTACACAAATTTTTTGGCTCGACAAAATAATCTCTTCTATCTTTTTTCTAAATTTAAAAGTTCCAATACAGGAGTTTGACACCTATAAAGTAAGTCATAGAGGGTAAGTGAGCACATAAACGCAGTTTTCGGGTCAACAGTTTCCAAAGAGGGACCCACAAGACCCTTTTTGGTGTTTCAGTAGACTTCAAAAAAGTATTTAGTCGATCTAAAATAGGTTGACAATGTTTTTAATTTGTTTTTGAAAAAAAAACCAAGAAAATTCTGAACCAAATTTGAAAAGAAAAAAAAATTGTTTTTCCTCACTGATTTTTCCAGAAGCTTCACCAAGATCTTAAAGCTTCCCGAATCTTTATCCCGGGTAACAACAGCGGTTCTCCACCAAGAGCTGAACAGCTCGTATGTTGATCCCTTCCCTTGTGGATAAGTAATCTGAACGGCTTACCCGAGATAAGTTTCATAAGATTCATAAGTTTCCGCCAAAATTGTTATGCCGCCAAGGGTTGACTTGAGTGATTATCAGCAAAAAAAAAGAAATATCAAAGTCCCCACAACAAAAAAAAACTTCCCCTACAGTGCCAGTTCATAATTAAAAACCACATTCGCAGAAGCTTCTTTCTGCTGGCCCTGGTGAAGACGAAAAAGAGATAGAGGTTGCCCACATAATCTGCTAACACTTCTGACGTTGGATTTAGTTGAAGTGTTTCTGAGATTGCGAGTGACAACTGAGATTGTTCCAAGTTTCATGACGTCTAAGTGAGCCTCGTTTACATCATCTGGAAAATTTCAAAGATCTACTTAACAATCGCCCTCTTTTTGGTATCTACTTGAGAACTGCCACCCCTGTTAATGAAAGCAGTAAATAGCACTTAAGCTTTTTATTTAGAACTCGAATTTTGCTGCAATCTGATTGGCCGAAAATGCGTTATTTTAAGCTACTTAACAATTGACCTTCTTTCTTAAAACGCGGGGGCAATTGTTAAGTAGATCCGATTTCAAATATACATCATTTCAGGTATAATATTAACAGAAGCGAAATCCCGTTTCCCAAACAAGCAAAAAAACGGAACAGAAGAAAAAAATGAAAATAAGCATTGAAAAATAAAGCCCTGAAGTAGATAATTCTTAGTACGCTCGAGGATTGAACTCACCAGCTGACGCAACTCAGTCAAATAAAATTTACCTAATGAACGATTGGGCAGCAATGATAGCGCTTTAGTTTAGCGGGTATAACACCCACTGATTAAATAATAGCCCAGGTTGAATTTCGTGCAAAACTGGGCAATGCGAAAGGCAAGTTGCATTACCAAAAAAGTGGGCTGCAAAAATCACACAAGCGTCATTTGAGTAAAAAAAAAACAGTGATAGCTAGTTTGTATGATGTCATAAATCGCCAGAAGAATTCTTTGCGATACCTCCACACAGTGGACACGCGGACTTGAACTTCACTTGATTTAAGCTTCTTCAAAAATGCTATAGTATGCTTAAAAAATTTACATGATCTCTAACTTTTATTTCGAACGAAAAAAAAAGATGAGCGTGAACATGTAAGACTTTTCTTTACAAAATGCTTGAATAAAACTCGCGAGCGAACCAGATCGTCTTCACTTTGTTCATTTACACTTGAAAAATATCAACAGTTTTGTTTCAGAGAGGTTACCCTATACTCCGCAGACGCAAGCCAAAAACAATGAAACAGTAAAAAAACAGCCTATTTTAAAAACATTTTGAACCAATCAACATCTGGCCAATCCTGAAAGATTCTCTTAACTTGCTGAATATTAACAACCTGCTCAATCTAAATTGGGCGCACATAATTGTGTAATCAAGACAGGTAGCAGCAAATTCTCGTTCATTAAGCCGAAACAACCTTACAATATAATTTCTTGAAACGACCGAAAACTGCGCTAACTAACTGTATATAGAAATTTGGGACTGTGTACTGGAAAAATGGTCCTGTAAAAAAAGCAAGGTCTGCATATATACCATGTTGATCGCGCAAAGAGCCAAGGCACAAAAAATCAAAAACCAATTAAATAAAAAACTCTCTTTTTCCGAAAAAGATCAAATTCATTGCATTTTACTAACGAGCTTTGCTTAATATATGTTACCACCCAACATCAGTTGGATTTTATCGGTTTCAAAACATGTATCATGGTTCTTCGAGGCAACAATAAAATTTTATTGTCTGCTTTAAAATTGATTGCATTACTACCGGATAAATAGATTTCCAATAAAAACATATCAAAGTGTTTTTCCAACAGTTAAGTTATAAGTATCACAAACCAAATCTTGTGCATAACGAGGCTATAATCAGTCGCTTTCCAGAAATGCTCCTGATTTATTGCTTTAACTACGTGCTCTTTGGTTCATTGCTACATATGCTGATTGCAAACACACTGTTCTATTTATTGAGGAAACTTAGAAATCGTCGAAACTTAACGTTAGATTGATCTGAAAATTACAAGACAACAAAAAACCACAAAAACAATCGATAAATCTAAGATCACTTCTTAATAATTTGCTATATTAGGCTCTGAAATGCTTATCCTTTTTTCGAAATTTACCAAATACTTGAAAAGGCGAAACTGAACAAAAAAAACCTGAAACAAGAGGCTTCTGACCTTCTTTCAAATATGCACCGGGTTTTAAGGCATTTAAAGCAAGTTCATAAAAAAATTAAGCCTGCAAAAAACTTTACGAACACGGATCGAACACACTATCTGATGCGACATAAGCAAAAAAAAAATTAGACAAGCCACTGTACCACGGAGACCTTACGAACACTCAATTCCAACAAAATTGACTATTTAATTCTAGGCAACAATGAATGGGCTTTATTTATGCGTTTAAAACACAGGCTTTAGCATCCGTCCATAAAACTTGAATTAATTAAATAACTCTACACATATTCCAATTCAAAACAAACGTTGAACGCAAAGATTTCCGATTTATGTTGGAAAAAATTGACTGATCTTATAAAACATAGCCAACTAACAATTAGAAAAGAGTAATGAATGCAAATAAACAGAAAAATAACACTGACTTTGAAATAATCTCAATTTCTGAATTCCATAGAAAAAACATTTACCCAAGTTGAGAAAAGTGGATCAATAGGTAAAATTTCTAATCCGCTGGAAATCTTAAAATTACATTCCACTTTCGAAAAAAGAAATTATTCACGTTTCTTTGCGCTATTTCCACGTTCGTATTTGGAGAGTGCTATTAACGTAACTTTCAGCAGATGAATTTCAATTGAACTCAAAAATTGCATATATACATTGTCTTGGTACAATGCCTACGTCTTGGTGATTCATAAATGCATTAATATGTATGAATGCACATCTGTAGTTTATTAGAGCATTTTAAGACTTTTTCCCGAAAAACAAAACAAAAAACCACCAAGACCTATATAAGAGTCTTCACTACGTTCATTACTCTTAAACAAACTCTGTTTAGTTTAGAAAATACATATATTTTTTTGAAAAAGATGCTTTGAGTAGAAAAAAGGCTAACAGAGGCCTGATATTGCTCCACAAATTATATGCTACACGAACTTTGCATGTAGTTCCTTGAATTGTAAAAGCAAACTCAGAAAAAAACCGACAAAAGATGAGCAAAAAAATTTCTTCGAATAAAAGACAAACAAGGTTAGCAGCGTTCAATTTTCGAGTGTCTTTCAGCTGGAAGTTTTTTCTCTCAAATAAATTTTACCACATACGTTGAAAAAACTTACGAGACCCAACAGCTGGTTCTTATTTCTACACGGTTGAAACTACACATGCGTAAATTTAAAACAAGAAAGGTATAGAAGTAGTACAGAATGTTACGGCCGCATTCATAAAAACAACTAAAAAGTTCTTCAAATCATTGTCAATTCTTGTCCCTAGTGTGATGAGAGTAAAATAGTAGATAAAGGCATAATCGACAATAGTTGTCTTCAAAACAGAAAACGAAAAAACATGAAAAAAATCTAAAATTAGTTTTAGAATGATCGTTCTAAAAAACTTTTTGCATAACAATTTTTAAATTTTTCAGAAAAATTTCATTGCCCAGAAAACGACGTATCACTCTTCCAAATTTAGTTTTCGTTCACTAAAATCAAGTTTTTTTAGCCTAAATGACTGAGTTTCATACACAGAGGCGAACTGAGCTTCGCAAACACCAGTGAGAACACAAAGAGCAGCTCTCTAAAGTGCAAAAAAAAATAGAAAAAAAACACAAATTAGTTTTTAAAAATTTGGCTACGTCTGAGACTCAAACCTGCGACCTAGAGACTAAAATTCTCAAAAACTAACCACTCGGCCACGGACGCTCAATAGGCACTAAACTCTAGCCACAAATAAAGCAGAGAACAGATGCTATGCAATTTTCAATACTACATTGAAATTTACAAATTAGTGAACACATTTAATGAACACTATATTTGCGAGTTAGGTTTTAAAAAAAAGAATATTCGTAATTATACACTAAGCTGATCGCTAGTGTAATAACAACTATTTATCGATCGCTCTCAAACCTTTCAAACCGGTTTTTCTCGACATCGAGACAGCTTTGTGAAAAATTTCTATGTTCGAATCACGACTGAAAAAACTTCAAATTGATATGTCGCTCGAACAATTCCAATGATTTTTTGTGTTACCTTTCTTTAGTGGAAAACAAAAAACATAGCCAACAGACAAATCGAAAAGAGTCAATGAACGCAAGTAAACAGAAAAAAATCTCAACTTTCGAATTTCGGAGAAAACATGATGACCTCAAAGCTTTTTGAAATTCTAGAACAAACTTATGATTGTCATTTTTTTAAATAAAATTTGCCCACTTTGAGAAAATTGGATCATAGGTAGTTTTTTTATTTCGCCTATTTGTATTTCGAGAGTTTGAATGACTTCCGTTTTCTAAAAAAGAAGTCGTCGTTTGTAACCTTTATTTTTGCTGTTCGATAATGGATTTTGGCTTCCTTTTACAGAGGCGAAACTGCGCTTCGAAAACACTAGCAAGAACACGACCAAAAACAGCTTTATCAAAAAAAAGAAAAAGTAAAAATAAGCCTCGAATTAGCAAAAACTCGGCTACGTTTAGGATTCGACCCTGCGACCCACTGCAATCAAGAGATTTTGAGTCTCACGCACTATCCCCTCAGCCACTCAAGTTTAACAACCGACAAACACTAGTCACGAATAAAGCAGCTACACATGCTAACAAATTGCCATAAGTTGCACCAAATACAAATAGACTCAATTTTGCAACAAACAATTTGGAATATAACTAACTGAAAGCATCCACACTAACTTTGCATGAAACAAATCGCAAAGCATAAAGCCACAGTATGTATAAATTATGGATTTCAAAAAAATTGCGAGAAAAATTGAGTTATCAAATTTCTGAAATCGAGTTTCCATTATTGTGATGCTGTTTGCAACAAATAGCTTTTTTCGGTTCATTTGATGATTTAAAAATGCATCAATGGTGTTAATTTATTACTATTCGAATGTCCAAGCACTTGCTATCAAAAAGCTGTAAAGGAGCCCCACCATTATTGGGGTTCCGCTCCATAAAAGTACCGCAACAATATTTGCGACTTAGATTGGAAAAAAGATGGTTCGTACTAATACACTAGCTTCGCAAGGCTTAACACAGGAACTGGACTGAACTTAAAAAACAAAAGCAATTTTCTGAACTTTTCCTGAAAAACGAAAAAAAATCACAAGGACCTATATTAGAGTCTGAACAGCGTTAATCGACTGTTAAAAAACTACATTCTCAATTTTCAATGGTGGTAACAACTATCTCAAACAAAACGTGTTCAATAGAAGAATAAACTGTAATCAAAATAGGTGGACCAAGATGAATAATTATAGTAGTGCTAATTGTAGTAAGCCTGCTTTGCATTAGATCCAAATTCAAAGGTCAACAAAGTTCCTTTTCACATTCAGTGGTTGGAACCATAAGTATTTTTAGCTCTCTAGATCAACCAAACTAAATTCGACTGGTACTAAAAAGCGAAACACACTTAGTGCAAGTTAAAGCTATGGATGAATCACGGCATATATATAATATCGATGTAATTGGTACATCCAACAACAGAGGTCATTTATTTGATATCGATCATCCGGGTAAAGAAGGAGATGCGTTTGTTAGTAAGGCTATATTCACTCACAAATTAAAAGCTACAGATATGCGAACTCAGATTTTTTAATACCCTTATTACGAAAAGAACTATAAAGAAAAACTTCATTTAGATAAGGATTTTCAGATGTTCTCATCCCCGATGTTCTATTGGTCTAAACTTTCGAGCTGTTCGTGTGACAATTGGCTGTAAAAAAAAGCTGTCTGCCTTGGTGAAAATAATCGGGAAAAAAACTTTTTCATTGCATTCAAGTACTCACCAGTCTCAGAAATCAAGAAGGTTCATCCTTTATATTATTCGCATTAACCAAGTAAAGGCGCTTTTTACCAAAAGCGCAAAAACTCAGGCTCCTAATTTTCAATTTTTAAAATTCCAGGAAAGCTGCGGAGTTTATTTCTAAAATCTCCTTGGGCTCTTTACCCGGGATATAACATATTAGAAATCTGCAAAACTTCTCAATAACAGAAGAGATTAAATCACCGCAGTAAACTAGTGAATATTAAACTCAAGTTGTGTAGCAGTATTAACTTTTTTTTCGAAATCTACACTATTTTCTCACCAATGCGAAACATTTTTAATAAACTGAACTAAAACAACAGCCACATAACTTGAAATATAATTATGAGGAAATCATCATATGACATTAGCGATATTCGAGTCAAGAGTTCGAGGCTTCGTTTAATCGAAAGAATAAAACATGAAATTTAGGTCGAATGAAATGACTGCTAAACTAAATTATGGTTTGCAATAAAAGAGTCTTGCTGGCGTACAATTCAAGAATCAACCGAACAAATTGAGCATACGGAAACAACATGAGCTATAGAAAAATAAAAAGGCTTTCTAAACGAACTTAAAACATTAAAAATTTGTCAAAACAGGGGCGCAATTGATGTGGTTTTAACATCACGTTAGGATTGTGTAATTCAGCTAAGCAAGTAACCATTCAGTTGTCTTAACAAGTTGAATTTTGGGCATCCGGTGGTGTTTTGGGCTCAGCCGATTGGTCTCCCCCGCTTTCGGCCTGTTCCGATTCCAAAACAAGACTGGCCAATTCGGCTGTGACTTGTGCTTCATTCTCGTTGGCTAAGACTTCTGAAGGTTCCGGTTGTCCTATGCCAGTGCAGTTAGTATCTCCAGTAACATTCATTTCGGCTGGCGTCTCAATTTCATTATTTTCTTTTTCATCTACCTTGTTGGGACTTGCAGCAGTTGAGTCGTCCATGAAAACTTCGTCCTCCGCGTTGCTTTCGCTCGACTCGATCACTTCACATGATAGAACTGTGACGTCATCGCTTAAATCGTTTTTTGTTGCAGCTTCTTCGTCTTTCACTTTTACTGAGTCGTTCGACTGGTTGATTTCATCTAGAACTGACCGCAGATGTCTGCCGATGTTTGAACCTGAGGAGTTTTGAGCGAGGACATCTGTTGACGAGTTTGAGCAGCTGTCGACGTCTGATGACGATTCGAGATCCTGAGTTGAGTTTGCATTCTGACTGTCTTCGGCTTGCGACGACGATACTACAAAGGTTGAGTTAGACGCCGTTGCTGTGTTGTTCAAAGTTGATTCGAAATCTTCCGAGGTGTTGAGCGATGAGTTGGGGAAAAGCGTAGAGTTTTGTGCACAGAAAGAGCGCACATCTCGATCTGAATCCTGGGCTAAAATGCGCACGACATTATCAATGCTGAGCTGAGATTCGGTAGGCGTGTATATCGTGAACTCAGGTCTCGTTTCATAAAGCGAGTTTAGAGTCCGACTAAGGGCAATTCTGATATTCACTACTGAGTCGGCATGCAGAGCCAGTAGACCAGGGAGGTAGTCTCGACTGAACATGGCCACATCGATGCTCGGTTGAACCATTGCAACTTCGCACATTTGGACGAAAGTGAGTCGGCCGAAAAACATGCTACATTTCGCAAATCTGTCCAGCAACAACCCTTTGAACTGATTCGCAATTTCAAATGCCCTTTCGCGGTTGAATTTAGCAATGATAGTTGCCACTAAAAAGAACGAACATTGTCGCACTTGAGCTATTCTGTCTGAGCACAGCGATATAGTCAAAGGCACTACATAGCGTTTAACACTCTCGCTTGAGTAGAGATCACACAACTGGTTCAACTGGAAGGCCAGGTCTTCTCTGAATCTCCAGTTGCGCACGTTGTCTGGCTTTATAAACCCTGAAAGTCTACCTAGATACACCTCGCGATGCTGACCGGCCGGTAATAGGCGGATAAAATCTGAGAAGTGTTTCAGGATTCCCGATTTGACATCGTCCAAGTCGTTTAGAAAGGAGTCGAACACCTGAACGAGGTCGTTCATCATGACCTCAGGGCCCAACATCAGCGCCATCACATGCAGCGAAAAGGCTAGACTACGCCGTACCTAAAACACTCCTTTGATGAGTCAATAGTTTTCGGTCTCGTTAATTTAGGCTGAAAAAACTGAAAAACAATCACCCCATACTGACTTTTGAAACAACATCTTTAGTTATTAAAAAACTAAGTCTTATTAAAAATATCTAGTAAATTTTCCCAAATTTTAACTACGAAACTTGCCTTCGGTTCGAGGCATCAAATTATCAAGCCAAACTTGGTTACACGTTATTAATTTCCGCGGAGATACTTAGTAGCAAAACTCAGTTTATACGCCTCTTTACCTTCCAAGACATGTCTTTAGCCAGCGCAGCATAAGCAGCTCTCAAACAGGCCCAGTTCTCTCGGCCCAGAGTGAAAGCAATAGCCGGGATCGAGTAAGCGCAATGTCTAGCCAGCTCCGGATCTACAGTTTGGGCAATCTTCTGGTCGCACATAGACACAAACTGGAACAGTATTTGAGGTGGGACTACTTTCTGTCTGTTGATCTGCTCGATTGCAGCCGCGTCTAGTCCTCCAACTGACTCTTCGTCTGCTGTTAGTTCGTCATCGTCGTCTACCATTTCGTCCCCGACTGAACTGGGTGCGGCCACTCGGGTTGTGTAGATGGAGTCTAAGTCGTCCGACTGCCCTTTGGGTTCTGCCGAGTTTCCACCACTCTGTGTCATGAGTTTCTTTCCCCCCATGGCGCTCGTGTTCGCGTTCTCAAATGGCATGGAGGCGTATCCTGACTCCCGAGTCCCGCTTTCATTCGAGTAGTTCTTCACTTCGTCTGGACTCGTCATGTGCAGGTCGTTGTCGTCCGTGGATGTATTTGAATCCTGGAAACAACTCACAGCTTATCAATTCACTCAGCAGGAGAACAGCATATGCTCATAGTTAAGGCGTGCTAATTAATAACAAGACTGCTCGTATATCAAGGCGAAGCCCTGAATGTTCCGACTGCACTTAAGGCCAATTAAAAATTTTTTTTTGGTTGAATATTTGACAAAAAATTTGAAAAAATATATTTTTTTTATTTTCTTCATTTCATCGCCCCACACGCTATGTTAAATAATAAGGGTGTGTTACGCTTCTCGTATTGCCTGCGATAATGGAATAGAATTAAACTGTTGGCCTCAAAACAAAATTGGAACACATTAATTCGATCCTAACGCGTGTTATAAGTATGCAATATAACGCACTTCAATGATCGTCATTGGCCAAATTAGCAATTTTCAAATCCCCATAACTTTACAAAAAAACACAGGTGAAATATCTTTTTGAATTTGAGCTCAAGACAACAATATTTGGCAGATGGTATAAAAAATTTCCGTCAAAAACGCTTGGTTAACAAGTCGAAATTGGTTGAATAAAAACCACACCAAGGATAAATATTCCGCACTTTTGTCGAAAGTCGCAACAAATAGCTCGTAATTCGAAGGTAAAGGTACCAAACATTGTAGAAGAAGCGGAGCATCGCAATACTTGCGATACATAAAAGATAGCATTGCAAGCAAGAGGATACAAAAAGACGGAGGCCGCTTTGACGACTAAGTTGAAAAAATATATATTTGAAAGAAAAACGTCTACAAAATTTTATCAATCGCAATTGATATTCAAAAAATAATAATTCAATAAGAATTCGGAGCCAATTATCGGGCGGTAACTATGCCGACAATTCTTGGGTAGACGCGCTGTAACGTTTTGAATCTCGGCATTAGTACGTACCGCCCCTCCGTATGCACAAAAGCATAAAAAATCTATTTTAAGGTTTTACATGACTCATTATAAGGTAACCAATCCGATGTATAACTTATGCCGAAACCACTTAAGGGAAAAATAGAAAGTTAGAAAGTTATATTAACTAATTACAAAGTAACTTTCGGTTACCGAAAAAATTGCTTGCATCATATGAAAAGGCAACGCTTTGTAAAGTTAGCCGACAAAAAATGAATGATTGTCTGGCAGCTGAATGATTGTCTTGCATTGAATTTTTTCAAGAAAAAACAATAATTCAAGTAAAAGCAGCAAGGAGCATAACGTTTTATTTCAACTACTAGCTCAGGACTCGTACATAGGGGGCTTCAAGCAGTTTGTTGAACCAGGAAAATGTTTCCTTAAATATATAAAACAAAACAACCAAATTAAAATCAACCGTACAAATTAGACGCCGGTCATCAACAAAATTTTCTATTTCATGAATTGAATGATTTAAGAAATCAACTTTCAGTTTATTTTGTACAAAAATGAAACATTACTACCGGAATTCATTACCAAAATTACTACCGGAATTAAACTACCGGAATTCAGATCTTTGTATTTTGGACTCATAAAAAACGCTTACCTATGCATATCACTTGCTGCCGTCAATTTTTCAATCTAGCACAATAAATTAAAACCATGAAAACGTCACTTATCGGAACCAAAAACAGTTCGAGCAGTCATAGTTAGAAAACGTTTTTTTTTAAAGAAAACGTCATTCATCGCAACTACAGAAATTGAGCAGATAATATTGGAGAACGGACTTGCAACCTGAGACATTACTCTGACAGCGCCCATAGAGTGAAGAAATTCAAATTTTGAACGTTTTCAGGTTGCACTACTCTGACAGCGCCCATAGAGTGAAGAAATTCAAATTTTGAACGTTTTAAAAATTATATATAAAAATTACATCACGAAAACTAAAAGAATTCGCGCTGCCATGTTTCGATACCACATTTGCAACCCCTCAAAGTATCCCCACTATAATTTTGAATTTTGTGAAAAAAGAAACCTAAACAATTTTTTAAAGTTTGTGTGATGAAAAGTCAAAACTATCAGGTTAGGGCATTCGAGCTCTCACAGGTGAACGTTGTAGACCAATGAGGACCTTGGAAATTTGCATTCAATTGCAAGTTGAAATGGGTTGCGAATTTTAAACTTTGTTAAAAACTTTTATATCTAAATTTTTCCAGCTTAATTAAATACACAGAGGCGAAGAGGAGCTTCACACTACTTGCGATACAACACAAAAAAAACAAGTAGAAAAAATGTAAAATGTTGAAAAAAAAACAACGAACCAAAAATTATTTTGTTTTTCTCGATAAAACTAAAACACAATTAGAATCTAAGCTAAAGTTGGAGGTTTGTGTTTGATATTTCTATCAAAATATAACACTGATGCGAGACCAAAAGCGTAATTTCAAAAATTAGGTTTTGCCCGAAACCTTAGTTGTTTCTCTACTAAAATAAACGAGAAGATGGAAAAACTTTGAAGAGGGAAGAGATATTGATACTTTTCCAAGAAGATAACATTTCTCCTACAAAGTCGCCGCTTTTGCAGGAAAAATTATCGCAACCAATTCTTTCGATTGAAGTTTTCATCTCAGATTGAGAGGGTAGTTTAAGGAAAACCAAAATATTTCCAAAACACCTCAAAAGTTCAAAAACTTTTCAAAATCCATAATTTTTTTCTGAAAAATAAGGTCGGAGAAAATTCGCCAAGCTGGGTTTCTCGATTGAAAAATTAACCAGATAACTGACTTGGTATTTTTCAATATAAGTATCAAAAAATATTCAAAGTTTCAAAACATTGTGTGATGGCTCTATTTTTAATTTATTTCCTTGGAATATTGGACAATGCTTTACTATAAAATTCAATCTTTCGATGGCGAGCTTTTACTTTACTTCGGAGCAGGGCCGACAGTATCTGATCTCACTCTTAGATAGTAAAAATAGTTAGTTATTTTAATACTGGATTTCGTCTTACTGTTCGTCAGGTTTCAATCTCATCGCTCTCTTTGTTATAATTTTTACACTGGTTTCTTTTCAATAGTTCAAATATAATCATATCTACTTGCGCCGGCACGCGCCAGATGAAAGACAATAACAAATTTAGCGGCACTTAATAAGGCAAGAGTTTACAGTATTTTATACGGCAAGTTATAACTGGGGCAGGATGGAGTAATTATGTTCTCAGATAGGTAAACAGATAAATACTTTTTCCGGTTTATGAGTGGTTTTAGCAAATACAAGAATTGTTTGTGGTGTTTCGTGTTTGAGCAAGTGATTTTACATTCTTATGATGATATACATGTTCAAGCTCCATATATGGTAAAAAGGAAATATGGATGATTATAGCACTCTTAATATAACGGACTTTTCTAGGACGTTACACAACCGTTCTTTGATAAAATTTATGTATATAAATTTAAATGTGGCTACTAGTTTTTTTTTTAAAAGTTTTTAAGGTGCCACCCTTAAGTTGTCGATTGTGTTGTTGCGTTGTTCACCGGTGATTGTTGTTGCTGGAGGGTCTGAACTGGGATTTTTGAGGAGACCGAAAGTAGATTGGGTTTTGGTCTGTTTGTTGTGTTTCATGCGGGATTTCACGGGCATGTACTGAATGCCGTGACTGCGATTGGAGACTTCTGCGGGATGAACTGAGGGATTGGGTTTGTATAGCGTCTCTTTGGCTTTCCTCTTGTATCAGATGCTTGTGGTGTTCATCCACAAGGTTCTCGATTTTGTTTAACCGAAGGAGTATGTCTTGTATTATTTTTTCATCCGTTGTAGAGTCCTTAATGAAAGTTATCTTCCTTTTGAGCTTATGATCCATCGATTGTACCAGTGGGAATTGGTCCTTAGTTACTGACATAACTTGTTTTACTGGAATTTTTGCATCGGTCGATTTCATAAATTTTGGCGTTAAGTTTCGAATAAAATTGAATTTATGATAAAGGTACATGACTAGGATGTGTAAAAGGAGATTTCCGATAAAAACAAAGATTGTGAGGGACAAAGAGACTTTTATAGGGACGTAGGAATCGAGTTTATCAATTAATGTTGGTTTCAAAAGTTGCATTTTGTGGACTAAGGGTTTAGCAATATTGTCATAATCGTTTTGTTGAAGATTATCTACTGACATCATTGTCAACTCTAGTTTCATTTGCTGAAATAGGGCAATATTTGCGTCTGCTTTAGACTTGTAATAGGGTAATTGGTCTAGCTCGGGGACCGTTGAAATAAGCTTCTGAAGAGGGTCGTCTAATTTGACGTCAATTTGTACTGCTGGAATTTTTGCGCAGCTTGACAGGTCTGACCGTATTTTAATATGTTTGCTTATAAGTTGCTCTCCATTTAAAATGTCTTGCGCTCGTTATTAACCAAATTCCAAACCCGAGGTTGGTCGCTTTTTCCGGGATGGGTAGTAGGATTTTTCTGGTTTCACATACAGCTAAGGCAACTATCGGTTCCTGGTAGTAAAGTGTCGCAAGACATGAGGATTGTGCTAAGTGTGTTTCCATTGTTTCATGGCAAATTCTGTATGTTGATGATCCAATGCAGTTGTCCAATTGTTTTTGCGTAAGAGTTGTCGTTTCCATTGAATCCTGTGAAATTGCTAGGTATGGGCCTTCGATGGCCCATTCTAAAGCTTCAGAGGGATCGTGTTGTGGCATTGGTACTAAATGTGCACTGTAAACTGTAAAGATTGTTGTTCTTGATGATAGAGGTATCGCCAATGTCAGAAGTAATCCTTGTTTTACTGTTGAAATTTCTGTTAGTAATTTCGCATCGTAATAGGACATTAGATCTTGCATTGGAATTGCCAATGACAGTTTATCCGTGGAGTATTTTTGTGCATCATGTACTGAGTCGAGTACATCATTTAAAGATTCTCGTGGAACTAGGGACATTGGAAGTCTTTTGTCTAGTAGAATTGGGATTGAGTTGAGCAAATTTATGCTATAGGCGTATAAAGCTGAACGGTAACTTTTGACGTCTGCATACAAAACGTTCAACAATGAAGCGGCTGTGTCGAAATTGAAATTTAGCTGTTGGTGCGAAAACAGCATTTGAGTACAATCTCGTAAAACATGAAAGTTGTTTTGAAAGATTTCAAATTGCTGCTGTACAATTTTCCAATTTTTGTTCTGGTTTTCTTGCATTTCCTTTTGGATTTTCGCTATTTCGGCTATTTCGTTGGAAATCAAGAAGAATTTCTCGTTGCTGGCTTGTTCAATTTCTAAAACGTACTCTGTAAGTTGGCTAGCGTATTGGCTTAGTCGGTCAATGTTCTCTGCATTTTTCTGTCCAGTGTTTTGGCAATTACCGAAAACTCCAAGAAATCCACAGTCACTTGATCCTCCCATTGATATTCCAAGGGATCCGAACAGCGCTATTCCTGCTACAGCAGCGGCTGCTACTACAGGTGCACCGCGTTTTTCACGATTTTGGATTCCTTGTGAATTTTGTTGTTTGTTTTGATTTTCTTCCTCGTTTTCATAGTTCGATAGAAATTTTGCTGTTACGTTGCGCATGTGTTCAACTTCCTGCTGTGCTGCATTTGTTTCGTTTTGTATTTTAGCCAGCATCCAATTCAAGTTGAAGGGTTTGTGCGAGGAATTGAAAGGTTGCGAAAAATCTAGTGGACATTCGGCCGAAGGCTGACTCCACATTTCTGCTAATTTTGCTAACATTGTTTCTACTTGTTTCTGCATCGTGAAATTGTATTTCGGGAATGGCACAAGAAATTGAACGTTAACAAATTTTTCCGCAAGTAATATTTGGGATTCTTTGTGGAATAAAATTCCTCTTGTAAGCGCTTCATATTCTGAAGAAAATTTATCGCAATTTTTTTTTTTTCGCAAATTCAGTTCAAGACGTCGTAGCTTCGAAAGGAGACAGAATTGGGAGATTCCATCCTATACAAAATGTTACCAACATTCATACAAACGTTTTAAACTAATGTTGGACCGGTTCTGACGCCTACTTCTGAAACGGGCGGTTTTTAAAGAATTTTGCGTTTTCAGTGCATTTTGATTTTTCCGCTTTTCTTCAAGTTTTTGGTGTGTTAGCACCAAACCAAGGTTATTTTTAATGCTTTAATCCAGTTTAAAAAACAGGTATTGGGTAGTATCCAGGCTAATTTATAGACCAATTGTACCAGTGGGTGTTGAACTCTTGTGTTTTGCGCAAATCTAGGGCTGAAATTTGAGATTTGTGTAAAACTTTTGTCGGCAGGGAGGTCACTTTGCTGTTGTACTGGATCGTTCTAAAGGTCATAATTTCGTTGAAGGGACTATTGTCGAGTTTGTCAAAAGTTAAATAAGTTGATTTTGATATTAAGTGGTCCGAAAATTTCGTAAAGTTGTCGCATAACGGTTGATTTTTCGAGTTGATTGTTTGCAAACTCCAGTTTTGGCATGCTTATCGCTCGTATGTTGTATTGCTGAACTACGTGTCTGAGGGTAGTGAGAGCTACTTGGAGGGCATAATACGATGGGTGATCGCTTTCCTGCTCCTTTGTAACCAAATTAAAGATATAACGATTTCTGTAGGGGTCAAAGTACGGGATTACTGTTCCGACTGGGAATTTGGGCTGGTTTTTTCCATTTTTTCGCATAGAGGGGTACATATTAGCAACCATTTTTGCTAGTCCCGTGTTCATCGTCAAATCAGAAGACACGCAGTTCACTATTGGGTGGCATGAGTGGAGAATATTGCCTTTAAGTTTAACAAACTGCGCTGGTATTTGTCGTTGAATTAAGTTTAAGTTTCCTGATCTTTTTGTGTTTTTCTGATTTGTTCGGCTTCGTGTAGATCTGGCTACTGGTTCTGGGGTCGTTTGCTGATGTCGTTGAATGCTAGCTCGTACCTGATCAAGTTTTGTTTCTCTTGATGGTGTTGGGTTGCGTAGTGCTCTCTGTGACGATTCGTGAATAATTTTTCGTTTTTCTTCACTTGTTAAGATTGCAGGCTGAGAAGGCGATGGTGGGAGATTTGGTTTCCGAAAACGTTCTCCATAGCGAGCTGCTGGTTGCCACTTTTCGTATGTTCTGATTCTCCTTTTCTGAGCAAAGTTGACCGATTTATCATAAGAGGTGGTACTTGTACATGGTTGCTCATAAGGAGATTCGGGATCATTTTCTGGGGGTTGCTCGGTTTCAGGCTCGGATTGAGGGCTATCTGGGATGTTGAATGGCAGTGGGGGTTCTGCTTTGTCCGAATTTTCTAAATCACTTGATCGGGCTGAGCTGTTTGAAGAACTTGGAGGGGAAGGTGCAATATTGACTGGAGGGCGAACTATTGGTCTTGGTGGTAAAGTTGGTACTGGTGGTGGAACTGGATGGGGTGGGTGTGCAATTGGGACTCTGGGTACTGCTATGGGTACTGATAATCGTATTTGGGCTGGTGCGGCTTCTTGTTGTTGAGAAAATGCGGCATTTTGGTCTTGTTCGAGTAAATTTGGGATGAATTCATCAAACAAATCGGGTTCATTTCTAGTTGTTCTCCGTGATGGGTCGGCTTCAAAATTATCTGGGTTGATCGTGTCTAGGTCATCTGGAGGGCTGTTTAAACTGATGGGTCGTAGTCTAATTCTGTGTACACTGTGTATAATTTGTTCCAACTTTTCGGATGATATAATTTGAATTTGTCAGGACTTGCTCAACTCTATAAAGTGGTAGCCAAGTTTGAACTGATTTCTGGGTGAAGTCACTTTGTGTTGTTAATTTGGCATTCAGGAGCAAGCAATGTGAATGTTTTTGAAGTGGTTGGGCTATAGACTTGTAGTCGTAATAACTCCGATATCGTTGATATGAATCAAGTAGTCTTTGCTTATTTTCGCCAAACTTTTGTAACATTGCGTCTTGTAATGCCAGAACGTAATCTGAATTTGCTTCACAGGCTTCAATTCCTTTCCTGGAGAATCGTTAGTCGATTGGTTTTACTGGTTCTCTTCCGTGAAACAGAGTAGATGGGCAACAGTTGATTGAAGAGTGGTATGACGTGTTATGGATGAAAGTTGCTAAAGGAACATACTTGTGCCAATCATTCCATTGTTCGCTTGTGTTGAGCTTTAAAATCCTTTTCAAGGGTCCATGCGATCGTTCTACTGCACCGATTGTCTGTGGGTGTTTTAACGTTGCATGTTTTAACTTTATTTCCAGAAGTTTTGTCAATTCCGCCATTAATGAAGATGTGAAAGTTGTTCCTAAGTCAGTGAGAATTGTTGTTGGAAGGTAACTGTGGTGGAAGAAAATTTTCACCAATTCGCGAGCAACAGTGTCGGCACTACCGTTTGTTAGTGGTACTGCGAAAAGGTACTTGGTGAACACATCAATTCCGCTAAGAACGTATTTGAAAACTGGTCCGTTTTGATGAACTAAGTCGATTTGCATCATGTCTCCTGGGTATGATTGTAATGAAGATACTGGTTGTAGTGGCGGTCTTAATTGCTTGTTCGTTGATTGTTTCAACTGGAGGCAAGTAAGGCAGTTTTTGATGAAATTGATGAAATGTTCCGTGAATCCTGGGTAATAGAATCGCTTTCTGAATTCTTGTATTGTTCTTAGAATTCCAAGATGTCCGCCTGTTGGTGAGTTATGTAATCTATATATCACTTCCTTCCACAAATGTTTAGGCAAGCAGTATTGTTGGTACAAAATTTTTCCCGTGTCATCGTAAAATAGTCTGTATAAAACATCATTTTCAAGCTGTAGTCTGTCGAATTGTTTTGCAAATTTTTTTTGTCGTGTCGAAGCATATTTTAAGTCCGCAGGTAGTCCATGATTTTTCCATTCAATTGTTTTTGAAATGTCCTCATCACGGGCTTGTTCATTTTTGAGGTTCAGACTGTCCTGTTTATTTAACAAATCGTTTAAAAAATCTTCTGGACTCGGTAATTGAACTTGGTTGATTTCATTCCGTTTAATCCTCCAAAAGTGCTGTATTCCTTCTTCGTTCTGCTTTATGCGTTCCAAATAGGCTTCGTACAATCCCAGGCTTTGTAGTTGAGAGATCATTTCTTGATTTTCCGTTTCAGGGCTCGAAAACTCGTCAAAAACATTTATATTCGTTATCATTACATCTGGTGATTTTGCTTCACTTTCAACTTGTATTTCTTTGACTGGAATCTGATTCATATGCCTCAAAGTCAAGCTAGCGCATTTTTCAGTTTGAACTCGTGACAAAAAATCAGCTGCGTAATTCGCTTTTCCCGGTATATGCGCTATAACTATGTTGAAAGACATTACTCGATCCAAGAAGTTCCAGATTGAAGGCGGAATGGTTTTTGCTTGAAAGAAGTGCGTAAGGCTGATGTTATCTGTTAGCACGATAACTGGCTGGGTTGAGGACCATATATAATGTGCAAATTCGTCCAGAGCGTAGTATAACGCAAGAAATTCTTTATAATACGTTGAGAATTTCAGCTGCGCGGTATTAAATAATTGTGATCCAAAGGCTACTGGGGCATAGACTTTCTTATCTTTATTCTTGGTTCCTTTTACGTAATCTTCAACCATGAGTACAAATCCGGCGCCGTAGTAGCTGGCATCGCATAGAAGAACATATTGTACGTCCGGTTTTGGTAATCTTAGCGTCATTTCGGTTGCGTCAAGCAGATCTTTTTGCAATGTTTCCAAGGCTTTATATTGTTCTTCCGTATTTTCGAATTCAGCACCTTTTCTGAGAAGCTGATAGAAAGGTAGCAGTTTTTCGTTCAAATTCGGTATAAAGTTGCGGAAGAATTGCACAAAACCAATTAATCTTTTTGTTTGCTTCGTAGTTTTAGGTATTGATATTTTCTTCAGGAATTTTTCGATTTTTTCCGATTGTGGCGATATTCCTTCTTTTGTTATTGTGTTTCCAAGAAATTTGATCGAGTTAGCTGCTATTTCGCACTTTTCTGGTGACAATTTTAAGCCTGACTTTCGTACGCACTCGAATATTTTTCTTAGAGAAGGAATCAATTCGTTGAAGTTTCCGACTGCGCTTCCGATATCATCCATGAATTGTGTACATATTCCGGCTGCTAAACAAGGGTCCAGGTAGTGGCGGACGAAAGCACTGAATCCAGTGACTGATTTGCTGAGTCCTTGTGCCAAACATTTGTAGGCATATGTTCTTGAGGCAAAATTGAAAGCTAAAAGTTGAACTGAGGTCTCATCTGCCATTTGAACACAATGGTAGGCTTGCGAGCAATCAAGTTTGGTGAAGAGCGATTTACCAGCAAAGTGGCTCGTTGCATCTGCCATATTTGAAATGGGAAAATTCGCATTCTGGTAATCTGTCTTCAGAAGGTGGTTAATTCGTCTCAAATCGATCAAAATCCGCAATTTTCCTGATTCTTTTCTATGTGCAAAAAGTGGGCTACTGTACTTGGATTGAGATAACGTTGTGATTAGTCCGTAGTAGTGCATTGGTGTTGGCGGTCCTTGTACATAGACTGGCAAATTATGTTCTGGTGTTAGTTTTATTTTTAGTTCTGTGTTGTAACCAACACCAAAACGGTGTTTGGCAAAGATGTCGCAGTATTCGACTAACAGGTTTTCACATTCTGCTCGTTCTTCTGTTGATAATGGGGAGTTTTCCCAAGTAAATTGCTTCAAGAAAAATTCGCGATCTTCCTCATTATTTTTCGGGTCAATTCGCTCCAGTTGTTGGAATTTCAAAA